TACGTGAACATGCTATCCTAATTAGGCATCGATCATCACACAAATCCAAATTGGATGGGGGGTACATAGATGCACCCGTGTTTAACTAATGCTGAAGATGACAATTCAAGAGGCAAAGAAGGTCTTGGATGTCATAATGTTAATACGAAGGTTAAGGGCAATGAAACATATAAGTGTGGCTGTAGTAAGAGTGGAAGCCAAGTAAATGTTAATATAGTGAATTACAAGATTGAATATAAAACCTACAATTATGCTAGCTAATACCAAAGCTACCAGTAATAATGAATACGAAGTATTTAAGTATTATTTGAGACTAGTTGATACAGATAAAGCTGATAATATTAGTCTTGTAAAGGGCGAAGTTCAAATATCGGCTGTAAGTGATCGAAACTTGTTAAAGTGTTATTTGAATCCAAATGAAAATAATAACTCAAAACTTATTGAAGCTCAAAGCTCTAACGGTCATATGACCTTGAGGGTTGTATCCAGAATGAAACTGGTAATATGAAGCCTGGTTAAACATTGGTCTTGAATGTTGTAATAGAAACAGAATTGAGACAGAAAAGAATGAATATGAAGTATTTAAGGAAAGTGTAAAGTCTACCAAAAAAATTGATAATGAAGAATAGGTCCAAAAATAGTAATGTAAGATCAGAAAGTCAGTTTGAAAAAATGGTTCAACAAATTGAAGATGATATGAACAAAGGTGTTAAGAGTAATGAACAAAGTAATATCATCGAGAATGAACAAAGTAGTATCATTGAGAAGTACGAAATAGATGAAGATGGAAAAAAAATAAAAGTAACAACAAAACAAATAAGGTAGTTAGTACAGGCAGTGATAAACCTTCACAAACAAGCAAAAAAGGAGAAGAAAACTTACACTTGTCAAGTAACTAACTGACCAAAAAGATCGAATGCACAAGTGAAATGCCCAACAATATGATCATTAGAGACGAACATAAACCGTCTAATGGAAATGAATTATATACAAATCGGCTCAACAATAGCAATGCAGGGGAACAATGTAACCCCAGACAGTGCTACCAAAATAGCAAAAACTTGAATAAGAATAGCAAAAGGTGCTCTAACAGAGTTGGCAGGCTAGAGAAGGTTGAGATTGTGATGACAAAATAGTAACCCAGATGACTAATTCGATTAAGAGAAACTATATTATGAATAAAGTGAAATGTATCTCTATTACTTGGGCTATAGAGAAATTTTGCCAGTATTTACGTAGGCCCTGACTCACCAAGATAAGCACCTGTTGTGTTCCAACATTTTTGAATTTGAGATGACATGTGATTGACCCAGAAGGAAAGTCTAAATAAGTAATGAAAAAAGAGAAAAAAATATATATAATAAGTAAAACGAATGAATAGGTGTATGAAAAAAAATATATATATATAATACATGTCCCTGGCTGACAAATTATTATCTCAGTACTTGAGCGAATGTTGCATTCTGACTTTACAGAATTGTTGGCAGAAGCAAGAAGGTTAAGAGAGGATGAAACTAGAAGGTTGTTGACGGGTTCGATGGAGCTCACCCTTTAAGAAGGGGAATATGTTATAGAAAATTTCGAAGAAATTTTCTTTACCTTGCAAAATTTCGATATATAGTTCTTTATTCTCTTATATAAAAGCAGTAAACTATGTAGTCATGATAGTATTAACACGTGTATGGGTTTGAGACCCTGGATTAGGGTTCGAAACTCAGGATCTGGGTTTGGAACCCAGATCTGGGTTCAAAACCCCAGATCTGGGTTCGAAACCCCAGATCCGGGTTTGAAACCCTTACACATCAAAATGTATAAATAGGACGCTTGCTTAATAAATAAAGTAACTCTTTCTTACTCTGCTCAAGTAATAAGTGCAGTAGATACGTGACCTAACTCTTTCTTATTTTGACTTGATAATAAATATATAATAAGCTCTAACCTTGCTTAATAAGTGACACGTGGTAACCTAACTTGGACCTATACGTAACCGGTGGTGACCTAGCCTGGACCCTACGTAACCTAATTGCAACCTATAACGACCTGACTTGGACCCTAATCATCCTAGGCCTAACCCATGATGACCTCTGGCGAATATAACCTTATTGAAGCAGCGATACTTACCCCAATCGATAATTATTACTATATACGGATCCGGACTGTACAACTTACCATCAGGGTTTATGCTTACGGCGCTGAACTAAATTGGCCTGGACATATAAAAGCTCTCCCTAGTCGTAACAACAGTTATCGCAGCCACAGAGTATAATTATCAAATACGAGATCTCACTACTATTGTAGCGCGAAGCTTAATCACAACATGATGTTCTTGCGCTGCTATTGTAGCTGCAGAGCCTAATCTCCAAGCAAAAGGTCCTTGCTGTTCGAAATTAGTATTTTCAGAGTTCTCATGAGAACATCATTATGAATTTGTGTACAGTAAAAATTTTCTAATGTTCTTATTAAAATTTTTTTGTGAACAGTAAATAATAAGAGTGTTCTCATCTATAATACAGGAATTGAACCACCTGAAATTTTCTAATCAATTAACCGCTTAACCGTGCTAATTAAGTTTGGCTCATTACTACTGTACTTCATGCTGGAATTATAAAACAATCTTTACACAGGTAAACAGTTCCAATCCTTACTATAATATGTATTTTCTATTATAGTTTTTTTTGTTTAGTTATTCGTGAACATAAAATAGTATTTGAGAACACTTATACTGTTCTCATGAGAATGGTATTTGTGCCTTAAATTTCGAACACTGGGCCCTTGCACTGTTGTCTCAGCCGTGGTGCCTAATCAACATTACGAAGTTCCTGCCTAATTACCAAATGTGTGGTCCTTTCACTACTATTACAGCCATGAAACCTAATTGTCAAACATAAGTCTTGCGTTACTATTGTAATCACAGAGTTTAATCTCCAACATGGGATCCTCACTGCAGCCACGAAGCCCCATCACCTAACCTGAAATAACTGTGCTGTAATCGCAGCCACGGAACCTAATTATCAAACATGGTTTTGCACTAATATGGTAACTGCGGAGCCTAATCACCAATGTGAGGCAGGGACGTGTAAATTCTGTGATTTGCTGTGATTGAAGCAATCGCAAAAATTATGTGATTTACTGCGATTTGCTTCGATTGCTTTGATTTGCTTCGATTATAGAAAATGTATTTTTCAAGCGACATTTTTAGCAAATATAATAAATTATTATATATTTCAATAGTTCAAAGAAATAAAATATTATAGGCTATATATTTGTGCATAAAAAACAAAATTTTTGTTTTAGTGCAACTTTTTTTTTCAAAAAAATGCAAGTTTTTTATTAGGTAAATTTTTAAATTTTATACGAATTCGTACTTTTATTGTTAATCAGCAGTAAATCACATAATTTATTGATATCGAAAACATAATTTGTTAAATTATATCACAGATTCCGCAGGTCCCTGATGTGAGGTCCTGCACTGTTATCGCAGCTGCGAAGCTTAATCGGTAATATGAGGTTCTTGCGCCGCTATCGCAGGCACAATACTCAACACCAACATGGGATTCTTGCACTGCTATCATAGTCGCGAAGCCTAGCATCAAACACACGACTTGCACTACTATTGTGGCTGCGATGCCCAACGCCAACATGAGTTCATTGCCCTACTATCACAGCCATAGAGCCCAATTGCCAAACATTAGGCCTCTACTTCTGAAGCATGGAATCTAATCACTAACATAAAGACTTTGCACTCTATAATAGTTGTGGTGCGTAATCATAAAACATATAATCTTTGCACCTCCTTAATTTATGAGTCACCGAGCAAAAGGGTGGATAGTTCGGGACGATAGAGTCAGCCTTCACTACAAGGCGAGCGATAGCGAAAAGAAAGATACCTTTTCCTACTAACAAAAGGCCCTTAAATAGCCTTGAAAACAAACTTGTCTATCATAGTAACTCATATTTTCAGCAATTATATGTTATCACAAAATTAATCAGAAACTAGTACATGATCATGTGGCGACTTCGCCGCCAACTAATAATTAGATATAACAGTATATGGTATTAATAGACACTGACAATTTGATAATACATGATTAA